GCCTAAAATGTTATTTGTTGCCGTTTGCTTTTGTTGCCTAGTCAACAGAATGATTTAATGCAGCTTGTAATTTTATTTTGAGTCTAACAGGAACAATTCAGCTTAAGAATAAGGGTCACAGCCTGGCCCTGCTAGGAGTTAATGTACTTAAATGTCCCGATAGCCACTGGCGCAAGCTTCACCATGGAAGCGAAACCAGAATTAGCGTTAATTCAACAAGAAGTGAAACGATTGAAGATTTATTTGCAAATAAAGACCAGCAATGTGGTCTTCCAGGGGGGGGAATCCATAGAACAGCTATGATATGCAGTGAGTCAGAAGCTAAAGCATCCCTTGCTGTCAAACCAAGACCATCCACCAGGGGGCATAATGGTGTAGTATGTGTTGTCAGAGTGGGCTGCTGTGCAGGTTACCTGAGCTGTTGCTCTGCCCCCTACAGGTTCCGGCCATCCTGCGGCGTCCCCGTATGGCCCCTCCCCCCATCACAGCCACTTCCTTCCCACCAGTGCCCTGGCAGGTGAGACACTCCCCACTCCCGCTGAAGGTAGCGACCAGGTTCAGGAAGGGATGCTTTGGCTTGTTGCCATTTTCTCGTCGTCATGGTAACCGGCCAGCACGCCCATGTCTGCTTTGAGATGCTCGCCGCGTCTCCCTCTCTAGCTGGGAATTCGTCAGTTGATCAAGGGTCATATCTGTCACCGAACGCTCGACATCGACAGCCATGAACTTCAGCTTTGGCTCCCAGAAAAGCACACTTCAGCATTTACGCAGCTTACTGATTTGACGTGTGGGTCCAGTGAATACGACTCTGCTGGCATATTAGAACAGAGGAGGTTTCTGAACCCCTGCCGGACCTTGTAGCTACAAAGAGCATTTAAGAAAATCATCCAAAAACCAGAAATAGCAGTTGAAACTTTTCCAGGTCAGCAGTAGACTGCAGACTGTAGGACGCCGCTTCGTTGACGTGACGTCAGTTGGGGTCGGTGATCCAACTGCTGATTAGAACCTGGAGGGAAGAGCTTCTCGTAAATCGAAAAGCCAAGAAGCGACTCTCCCGTAGGATGGCTGAGGTGGGGGGGGGGCCTTTCATAGCTAACCCCCCTATCTGGCATTTTGCAGATCCTCTCAGTCGCTCTGGTACCTTTGGTGGCCTCGGCACCCTTTCAGCCAACGCGTTCGGAGGACTGGGCAGCCCCTCCCTGGGTAAGCGCCAGCCCCCGTCCTGCCCCAGGTAGGCAGGTACCGCTTCCTCTAGGTGAGGCTGCGGAGGTGGGCCGGTCCTCAGCAGTCTTAGAGACCAGTTAAAAGCAATCGGATCAAACTAGACCCTAAGCTCAATCCCATTAAAACCCCAAATCTGGCTTCACTGGGTCAACTTCTGCACTCATTGGCTATGAGTCACTCAACACGTCAGTTCTTAGTAATGTCCAAGGCTGAAAGTCTCTTCACAATCGAGGGATGAAGATTCGTTATGCAGTTGTATGCAGTGCTCAACGGCAATTCTCTAATTGGTAATTGGTGTGAACTGTGTGCCCCCTTCTGGTTGTGATCGGGAATGCATATAAGCCTTGCACAATCCTGTGAAAATAAATCGGTACTTAACCTAACGCCCAGTCAGCCAGCTCGTAATATCAGAGCTGGCATTGCTGAAGGCTTCCTGTTGACGGCATGCTGTTCTCCTCCTTCAAAGCCTCTGCTGGCGTCTTCGCACACAAGGAGGCCCACGGGCTGCCGGCTTTTGGCAGCCCTCACCACGACCCCTGGAACCGGCTCCACCGGACCCCCTCGTCTTTCCCCACACCCCCGCAGTGGCCCAAGCCTGAGCCGGAGCGGAGCCGCTCAGAGAAGGAGTCAGAGAAAAGGGAGTCGTCCATCGCCAAGGAGGAAAGGGAGCGAGAGAGGTCAGTGCTGCCCCCTAACAGGGAAATGAAGAACTGCAGTTTTTTTTCCCTCCCTCTGAAGATGTACATAGTTTATATTTGTACATAAGTATTTGTTCTTCACTAAGGTGTTAGGATTTCTTATTTAGTGTTTTTAATTAGCTGGATATATGATATAATACATTCTCCCTCCTCTCTGTCACTGCTCAGGGACTCCCGTCACTCCACCCGCTCGTCCCCTGCCTCCACCCCAGCGAGCTACCAGATCAGCAGTCTGATCCGCAGCAGCAGCGCCAGCGACATGGGCCGCCACCAGGGCGGCGGTGTAGAGCGGCATCGCGAGGCTGACAGGGAGCCACTGGAGCGCCAGAGGGATCTGGACGTCAAGGTGAAGGAGAGCCAGGAGCGGCGCCCTTCGCCGGGCACCAAGCCCGTCCTGCCGGAGACGCACGCTCCACCCAAGGACCCGCCCTCCGGGGATGTGCTACACTATGCCAAGCATGAGCTGAAGATCAAGGAAGAGCGCAAAGACGAGCAGGAAGTGCCGACGGGCAGCTCGGACTCGGCCCCCCGGCCTCTCCCCGCTCACCACCTCCCCCGGCACTCCCAGGCCTCGCCCCGCTGCAGCGACCCCTCCATACCCAGCTCCCTCCACGGTCCCCACCTGCCACACTCGCTGCCCCTCCCTCTAGGCCCCATGCACACCATGGGCAGCCTCAGCAGCCTGGACCGTGCCCGCATGCCCCACTTCCTGGGGGTGAGCCCGCTGCCCGCCAGCCGCGAGCGCCTGCCCCACCCAGCCTTCGCCTGGGGGAGCCCCCTGCGAGAGGCTTACCACAGTCTGGACCTGCAGCGGCGGCTGGAGCTGCCGGGCCAGCGCTTCCAGGCCCTGTACGACTCGGAGCGGCCGTTCCGGGACCGTGAGCCACACGATTACTCGCACCACGAGCAGCAGCTGCTGGAGGTTCGGCGGGAACAGGAGCGGGACCGTCTGCGGCTGCGGGAGGAGCTGGACCGGGCCCGACTGCACCAGCTGCACCAGTCACCGATGGAGGGCCACCTGCCCCACATGCCGCCCTTCATGTCGGCGCTGGGGGGCCTGCACTACCCCAGGCTGAGTCCATCCGCCCCTCACAGCGGGCTCCTCAACCGGACGCCGCCCACCGCCACGCTGGGGGCCCCCCCGCCCCTGGTTCCCGCTGGGAGTGGCCGGCCCACCTCCCCCCGCAGAACTGTCCCGGACCCTCGCGACTACTCCCCCTCCCGCAGCCACAAGGAGGTGGAGGCGCGGTAGCCGTGGCCGGCCACCGAACACGGACTCTCCTTAACGGCGTTTCAGTGACGGAGCGCAGTACGTGAGCCACAGGTCTGCGGGATACACTGACAAACGTATCGTGTCACACAGGTGACAAACAGTGGCTGTGGGCCTCAGAGAGACACTTCACAAAATACCTTCTATACATGACTAAAACTTGATAGTAATATATCAATCTTCTCAAACTTTTTTTTTTTTTACCTTTCACATGCAAAGTGAATTTCTGAATACTGAATAATGTAAATTTCTTATCCTCAGTGTACAGTCATTTATATGAATTTGTACTTTTTTGCAGAATTCACTTCAGCTGTACTTTATTTGCGTCTTTAATATAAGATCTTTCATTATTTATCCGAGGGAGACACTGTCTCGCTGACAGTGCTTTTTATTTTTATTTTACAGTGTTTGGTACATGGAAATTACTCTGACAAAGTAAAAAATTTTGTTCTTCTTTTTGCCTAATTTAGATATGCAGACAAATCAATGTTAAAGTATCTTATTTAGTTTCTGTAAAAAAAAAAAAAAAAAGACAAAAGAAATGTGTATATGTTGTGGATAGGATACAAATCCAGTTGATTGGGCTTTTTAATTGTTTCTAGATGAACACCAGTTGCAACCATTGGATAGGTTACCATGGTTACCGGAGGGACAGACAGCTCTAAACTCATTGGAAGACTAGGGGGGGGGGGGGGGCCGCTGTACATTGTGACCTTCCATCTATGCAAAGCCGGCACCATAACGTCCTGATAGGTGAACATGGGGGAGGGGCGCGCTCCACTTACAGCTGGAAGATGGAAGCACAAGTTGGACTTCTTGGCCATGGGCGGGAGCTGAACAGGAACAGGAACAGGAACAGGAACAGGAACAGGAACAGGAACACCCTCGCAGTCCCGGAGAAACCGACAGCAAGGGGAGACACTGGCGGGCGGCAGTAGACTCTGTGTCAACCTTGTGGTTATGTGGTGTTTTGCTTAGACTCCTGTATACGAGCTTTAGATGTGCAAACAAAAAAAAGGAAATTTACAAGGCAAAAAAGGAAAAAAAGTATGATGGTAATTATGAAATAAAAGTTTGATTTAACACCTGCTTTGTTGAGCCTATGGGTGGTAATTTGGCTAACTGTGTTGAGACTGCAGGGAAGTGTCTGGAAATGTTACAGTTAGGGTCCAAAAGCATTACCGATTTTGTTAATATTGTCTATGATCCAAACATTATTCTGTACTGACTGCACTGTAAGTAATTATTAATATCTACTATCATTAAATGTTAGTTGTGATACTTAACACAACTGTTTAACCCCTATAAGAGCGGCTGTAAATATTTTTATGGAAATGCATTTACATGTAAGAGGATGCTTAAGGTAATTTTACCTGTGTTATTATGCATAGAAATAAGTAACAGCTTTGATCTCAGATATATTTTCAAAAATGCTGTTGCCTGCATTTTCTGGGAGTCTAGTCTTCACAAAAAATAGAGCAGACTGGACTCTCTGAATCTGCATCTCCAGTCCAAAGGAAACTTTTGGGTCATTTGAAAGAGCAGGTTAAGTTTTGTAAGTGAGTAGTGCTGTCCCCCGTGGGATGTGAGCCTACAGCCTTCTGGTCTTTGACCAATGTTATTCAATGCCTCTTTGTACAGCAGCATCCAAGGCTACTTTCCTGACTTGGCTCAGAATCTAATTGGTGCTCAATGTCTGAGCCTTTATTTGTGTTGAAATGTAGCAACTTCCATGCTTTTAAAATCCACCAAGAAATCTTTTCTCTTCACTAACAGTGGGGGAAATTCAATGGATGCACATAATGATAGAAAATGTTAAACTACTTTGTTACTTTAATTGATAATTGATTACAACATTACTAAATATGTGTATTAAACACATTATTCCCGAATGTTTTAATTTCAGCGATTCAGCTCTTAAAAGTAAGACTCCTCTGGGGATGATGATGATGATAATTGATCCCCTCGGAGAAGTTCTTTTTTCACCTCCCCCATCTTGCTCTCTGTATGTGACAGTGAGCTGAGCACAAAGGGCAGCTACCTGTTGCGGCGCTCGGGGAGCTGCACCTTAAGGGCCTTTCTCAAGGACCCACAGACTTGCTGAAGCCGTGCTGGAACCTTCCGATCACAGGCACAAATGTTTAGCCGCACACTGCCCTCACCGACGCAATGAGTTTGGAAAAATTGTAAAACGAGGTTTAGTATCCACGATAGGGCCACTTCCTGTATTTCAGTTGAAGTTAGTGCCTAGTATTTTCATGGGACGGTTTTTATGAGTTGGAAGCATGTCGTCGTAACTCCCGGTGGGGGGCGGTGTTTCCATATCGGTGCAAAGACGGAGTTCCGGGAAAAATCTGTAGAGCAGAAGAAGAAGGAGGTGGACATGTGAAAGACTGACACTGGTAAATCGCTTCGACGTACACATTCACATAAACGATCGGCATAAAGTCGACCTTATACCAAGAAGTCGTCCAAAAACCAAATAGCGAGTAAAACTAACGATTAGCCAAAATTACAAAAAATCGTGCAATATCCGTATGCCATTTGACACCGTTCTGATTTATGGTTTCATTTTTCCCCATCTGTTGTCGTTGGATAGAGAACGGAGTTATGGTTTAGTTATACGTTAGCTATACAACGGACGTATTACAATAATCGTTGTGACAACTCGAAACCGTACACCATAAGGTAGCCTGTATAGCTAAGACATGTTAATTATAATTATTAAAAGTGACACTCAACTGGCGTTACATTTTTCTTATGTCGTTAATTACAAGTATATTGGGAGTAAATGAGTATTGTAATCAGTACTTAGTAATTAGATTTTTTTTTCTTGTGTTTTTTAAGGTCGTTTTTAAAAAAAAAAAATCTGTGATCCCCAGCCATTAACACCGCGTTTCAATTGCCAGTGACCAGGACAGAGATTTACCATGAATCCGTCTTTCGGTGACTCACAGTTATACTACGCACGTATAAAAGTGACGCAAAATTCGCTTGGAAATGCAATATCGTGTATATATATAACGTAAGTGATCATAATCATCAAGATTCCTGCCTACGGGAAGGTCCATTGTCACCCATCACCGAGGCACTCGTATGTATTTCGAATATATATAAATATTACTAAAACGAAGTCACGGTCACTGCTGTACGGCTCCTTCTCCGTTCTCAGACCTGGCAACCCCACCCACGTGTCAAATACCTTTCCTGAGCGCAGGAACCGCCCCTCCGCACTGCGCATGCGCATGCTCTGTGATATTTCTATTGCGTATTCTTTTCAGGGTCCTGCCTGGCTGTGTAGACCTTTATAGTTTCTAGGAATACATCGTAAATCACCCACCGACAGTTCTGCTGTTTGTCATCGCTGCTTAGGAAAATAGGGTGTTTCGGGTGCCATTAAAACGCAAGTGTTGACAGTTATCAGAAATAGGATGCGCGAGGGGGATCCGAAGAATGCAACTAAGTTAGGTTCTGGACCGATAGCGATGACATGCATCAAATAAGGGAGCTTAACTGATTTAATAAACATCCGACTGATATGATCTCCTAGTAAGGAAAGTAGGTACTCATTCGTACACTTGCATTTTCTGGGACAGGTGTACTTTGTCATTAATTGTAAGTACAGTTGTCTGTTAATTGGTTTAAGCATGCTTCTTCGTTATTTTGTCATTTAAGTGTCCATACCTACCTCGTCAATTTTAGACAAACAGTTCTAAACTGTTTTCTGGTAACGGAAAATGCTCATTAAGCTCTTAATAGTGGACAGTCGACATTCAGATGCTTATGTTGATTTAATTTGTAAGGGGTTGCTGTCTCTCACGCATCTGGCGTGACACTCACGCTTTCAGACTCCCATGCTCACGCAGAAATATTACAGGAAATTTATATCATTCCATTATAAATCTAAAATTAGCTACATCAAAAGCATTGGAGAAGTTTGCAAACACTACAGACTATTTACATAGTAATAAAACTCATACATACATGTCAGTGTGTGTGCAGACTTGTCTGGAATTGAAAATCTCACTCCAGCTAGCTGACAAAAGTTGGCAACTTTGCTTTTAAGCTTCAGTCAGAAGGCTTATGAATATTTCATTAAAAAATAATTTTCCAAAGTTTTCTTTCATAGGAACAAAGCATTGAGTGTATAACCCACCCCCCAGGTACAAACCTCATGGAGACTGTCTTGAGCCGGCTCCGGACCCTGGGCCCGGATGAGCTCCGCATGGAGATCATCAACGCGGGCCTCAAGTGTGGCCCCATCACGGCCACCACCAGAGCCCTCTTTGAGAAAAAGCTAGCCAGTTCTATCCTGGAGAGCCAGAGAAGTGATGGAGAAGCATCGGAGCTGAACAGCAACACAGACGCCTCTCCGTCAAACATGTGCGATGGGGGAGACTTTGGCTACAGCCTGGGGCTGAACCCCCCTGAGGAGCCGTCTATGGCCAGACTAGACATAGCAACCAGCTGTGTCAACACAGAGGATGGATTTACCCCCCAGAGGGACAGGCATGAATCTCCTTCCCAGTTCTACGGGGTGTGTCCCCCCATGCTTGATGTAATTCTTGACGATGGTGAGTCCCTTTGCTGTTCCACTGTGAAGTGGTATTTCAGATGTCTGAAAGGAAAATGGCTTCCTGATTTGTTTCCACATATATGAGAGAAAAAGTGAGATCATTCAGAACAGTACCATACTAATTTGGTGGTGTTTGGTCTCAGGCAGTCTGTGTAGCCTGAGTGATACTTAAAGAGTAGAAAGAGTTTAGGAGCCTGATTTGGGTGATACCATCTACTTGCACCCCCCCCCCACAGAGACAGTCCACGTTTATGAAAATAAGAAAGATGCGATGAAGGCTGTGAAGAAGATGAAGGGAGCCCGTTTCAAAATCTTCTCCAGCCGAGAAGCTGCTGAAAAGTTTGCCAGAGGCAGCAGCGAGAGCTCTTCCTCACCTTGCGGGACAGCGCCAGACCTGTCTCCGAGGAAGCCAGGTCAGCGATCTGGACGTGCCGGGATTTTCCTTTATCCTCTTCTACGTTTGTCCTTGAACTGGCTGACATTTTCAAAAGCTGTGCTAAACTACCCAACTGTTAGTAAAATATGTGTAAGCGAAATATGGAATGCTCTGATTTGCCCTTCGAAAAACTATTCCCCTGCCTCGGTGATGGAAGAATGCAGCAGGTGTATCTTGGCTAGGGGTGTAACGATACACCAAAGGCACGATTCGGTTCGGTTCACGGTTTTGGAGCCTCGGTTCGGTTCGGTTCGGTTTCTGTTTGCTGTGGGTTTAGGGTTGATGTCATCTAAACAGCAATGCTAAGGAACAATAGATTCACTTAATAACAAGAACAACTAAACTTTTTCTTTATTAACTTTGCCATCACATTTTTAGTACAGTCAGGATACCTG